AGGAAGGAGGGTGGATGGACAGAAGGAAGGAATGGGAAAAAGGAGAGGATAGATAGATGGAAGGATGAGAATGAAGGAGAGAATGGAAGGAAGAAATGGAGGGGGGAAGGAAGGAAGGAAGGAAGGAAGGAATTCCCCGCCATCCCACTTTCCCCATCACTCTACCTGGGGGCTGCCAGGGACCCTTCTCGCTCGGAAGCATTTCGCTGAACCGCGGTGTATTTTTCTTCTTCGGACCGGTCATCATTCTCCAAAGCGGCCCGAGCCTTGTACTGGGCGCTGGATTCGATTTCTTCTGCTAATTGGGCTGCTCTTGCTTCCCGTTTTAAATAATCTTCAGAATTATCTCTTTCCAGGGGTACCCTAAAACCAGGGGGAGAGATAAGGGGATCCATCTGTGATCCAGAATATGCCCAAGGAAAGAAATATACATATACATACACGTACGCATTCACACATGTATCTCTCTGCGTGTGTGTGTATGTATGTATGTGTGTGTGTGTGTGTGTATGTACACACACACACACACACACACAATCTCCATGGATTATACGTTAGGATAAAATTCTGAGGAATTTGTGGATGGACAGCACAAGAAAAACAATGGTTTATTTAGGCCAGCATTCCTCAACTTTAAGCCACTTTACAGCCTCAGGGGCGCAGTGGTTGGAGTGCAGCTCTGCAGGGCTCCTTCTGCTGCCTGCTGGCTGCCTGCAATTTGGCAGATCGAATCTCACCAGGCTCAAGGTTGACTCAGCCTTCCATCCCTCCGAGGTGGGTCAAATGAGGACCCAGGATTGAACTCCTGGTTGTAAAGCACTGCAAACTGGTATGTAAGTCTTAAGGGCTGTTGCTATTTAAGAGGGGTGGACTTCAACTTCCAGCATGGGAATTGAAGTCCGTCCCTCTTCAAATGGCTGGTCTAGGCCAAACCCTTGATTCAGCCCCGTTAAAAATGTGCAAGCGAAGGCCACGTACGTATAGGAAGCCAAGCTGCTGTCGTACGTCGACACCACCCCGTAGTTTTCTTCGTTGTAGCGAAACATGTCATTGGGATCCCATCCATTGGACTAGAAGGCGAAAAGAAAGAGGGAGGTCCGAGTGTTAAAATGACACAGGGGTACAGAAATAATCTTTCCCGCATTTAAAATCCCAAATCTTGCACAGTGGGGTTTTCGGTCCTTTTTCATCCAGGGCTTCTACTGCGGAGCCAGGCGTGGGAAGACCCAGATACCCCTCTGACTTGGATTAAATTAAATTGTTTTGGGTTCCCCCCCCCCCCTTCCTGGTGGCCCAAAGGAATTCTTGTGGTTTACAAGCTGCAAAGGTTTTGTGGGCCTGGGGCTGCGGAAACGGGTGGCAGACGTAAATTTATTTATTGTGTAGCAAAACGCTAACCAGAAAATCCCTTTCATTCAGCTTTATAGAAGAGGGGGGGGGGTGGCAATCTCTTTTTGAAGCAGGAGGAAAGACGTTTTTACTCTTGGAAACAAGCAGTTTAATCCAGGGGTCTCCAGCCGTGGCCACTTTAAGACTTGTGGACTTCAACTCCCAGAATTCCTCAGCCAGCTTTGCTGGGAGTTGAAGTCTTAAAGTGGCCACGGTTGGAGACCCCCTGATCTACACGGTTCCCAAACCAACCAGCTCTTGGTTTGTAGACTCCTTGCCTCAATTTCCTTATAAAACGCTACATAAAATGTAACGATGGAAACCTCTCCAAAGCAGAGACACCCTTCAGCAACAGAGCCAAGGCTCAGCTGACGCCCCTCCCCAAATACACGTAGCCCACTGGTTCGAATAAACAGTACCATGGGATGGAGGAGTCCCTACCCAGAAGAGTAAATACTGTAGGATTTGAAGACGAACGGAATAAAATTCAGGTTTAGACCTAGGAGGAGAGGGGAAATTTTGGATCAAAGCTCCTGGATTAATTCCTTTGGGACTCTGGGACTTTCCTGCTCCGTTAAGATGAAATTCCCCAAACTTTAGAAGTTCTTTAACAGCCCGAAGGATTTAAAAAGCCCCTTTTCCAAACAGACTCCACACCATCTCCACAAACTCTGTGCATTGTGCATTTTTGTAATTTTGTACTCTTCCATTTATATAGTTTTATGTTTTAATATAGTAAGCTGCCCAGAGTCACCCTC